GGAATTATAGATCCGTCTGTATAGTGATTTGTTGCAGAAAATAAAATATTTGTAGTATCTGTGTTGTATCAGCCTACAGGTATTTTGTCTTTCCTTAGAAGTTTTTATTTCTACATTCTTTGATAGCAATCAGATATGTTCTGTCATTGCATGTGTGGAAAAATGTTTTAAAACTTAAATATGATGGTTCTTGTGCATTACATATAATACTAGACTGTTTAGAAAAAAAGGGGATTTTTTTAAAGTGTGGTGCAACTGAATAATAATTTCATTAAAATTTTATGACGGTTAATTTTCAGAATTTAAAAACAGATTGTTTCTTTTCTGTGTGTAAATGAAGAAAGTTTCTTGTGGTTATAGATATAATACTAAGACTTCTATTTGTGTTTGAAACAGTATTTGTAACAAAAATTAAGCACATGCTTAAAATATTATGTGGTAATATATGCAATAGCCTTTTTCACAACTAGTTATATTCTTTAGGAAGAAATACTGCAGGAAAATAATAATCAGACTTTCACATTGGTTAAAGTGATCATGCTTTTGAATGAAATCTGAATTTATGACGTTTATCATAATAAATGTTAAAAAATATCATACAGTGTTAAACAGTTGCAAAATAAACAAGTTTTGTTAAAAAATAGAGCACAGCCCTAAACGTCGTACTGATACATTTTAATGAACGGGCAGCAAAAATAATGAAGACATTACATAGAAATATCGTCTTCTGATAAAATAAAATGGTTTTATTTATGTAATTTACTGTACTTATATTTTATAACGCTCATATCATCAAATGTGTTATCATACACTAAGTACTATTAAAGAAAGGAAGTAATTTCCGCACTAAGTACTATTACAGGAAGGAAGTAATTTCCGCACTAAGTACTATTAAAGGAAGTAAGTAAGTTCCGCACTAAGTTCTATTAAAGGAAGTAAGTAAGTTCCGCACTAAGTACTATTAAAGGAAGGAAGTAATTTCCGCATTAAGTACTATTAAAGGAAGGAAGTAATTTCCGCATGAAGTACTAGTAAAGGAAGGAAGTAATTTCCATTGCTATTTTATTGTTTGTTGGTTACATGACAAAAGCAATGTATATATGATTTTTAAAAGTTAAACTTAGGATTAGAATAAATGTTTTTATTAAACACGACTTTCATGTCATGATTATTGTTTGGGTATGATGTTCATTACTAATAGAAGTTGACTGTTTATAGCGGGATTTAATATGATGTACATGTGGGCAGTTGTAGCCGGAGGCTAGCATGTTGGACAGTGAATCCAAGGGCCCATGGTTTGTGCTCTGCTGCAGTAAATTTGTGCCCCAAACTTTGGGCCTGTGACATCATATTCCACTATTTGATTGGGGTAGCTTAAGAGTTGGCAACTAGTTGACTTTCTTCAAGTCTGTCAGTTTAAAATTACGGACGGCTAGTGATAATTAATATTAACATCAGATTAGAGTCAGCTATCTACTTAAAAAAAACAAGTAAGAATCTATGCAACAGTGATTATAGTTAATTAAATATACTATTCTTACGTCTGGGCTGATAAAGATTAGAACGCATTGTTTAATCAGTTGGGTACACTCGCTGTTTAAAAAAATATTTTCAGCCATAACTCCAATGATATCTAATGAAGTACTGCAAGCTTAGAAGATATAGATTAGTCCTAAATACCCATATTAAGCTAACAATAAAAAACAACCCTTATAATAATAATAATATACAATAAGCTAAAATAAAATGTGAAGACATTTAACACACTGAATAGCATAACTGATACTGTTAATGAAAGTAACAAAAATAAGTAACACAATGTACCTTATTTAGGGAACACCTGCAGTTGGCTTGTGCTATTGTCGTATAAAATTTTTTCTGGAACTTCAAAGCAAAATGTTAAATGTGTACAATAATTGCCAGCTTTTATTATAACGTAGCTTTCATATTAGAACAAAATATTTCCGAACGGTTGTACATATAATTGAGAGGTATGTTGGAGGTATTCACCGTTTTGTGGCTAATGTGGAAAGCCTTCTGGCTCCACAGCAAGATTTTATTTATTTATTGTAAGGTACAAAGAAATAATAAAAAAATATTACAGTTAGCTAACAGGCTTATTAGAATCTTGAACACAAAAATGCAGTCCCCCTACCCCTCCACACATGATATTTGAAAAGATAAAAGTTACTTGGCCTGAATTCTTCTGTCATCGTGATAAGATATTTACATAATTAATAAAGTTGATTGTTGTTTTAAGCATAAAGCTATACATTGGGCTACATTTGCTCTGACCTACTGGGGAAACAATTGCAATGGTGCCTGACTTGGAAGGAAATTGGGGATTGGAGGGTAGGGTAAAAGTACCCTTGGTAATTTTATTTTAGACCATGGTTAAGAAGCTTTGACGAGTGAGGAAAACATCGTTTTTGGTGTAAAATCACAAATAAAAATAACTCTTCTAGTAAGTATACACAACAGTTCAAAATATTTGTCATGTCAGAAACATTGGTATTTACCTTGCATAAACTTGATCATTTTATTTTTATTTACTACAACACTATTAAGACTACTAATCTGCCTGCATTCCTAATTGTGAACTAGTCAACAGCAGCCTACCACCTATTATCCACAGTTTAAAGTGCGTGGAATATTTTGTGGTATTGCACGGCTCGCCAGCTTCAAAATAAAGAGTTTTATTGACCTGACAATAGTAAAGGGGAGGGGCAAAGGGCATTTTCTGCCCTGTTAGGCGCCTATGAATGTGTGTAATATCAGTTTTGGAAGTAACTAATAGCGATATGACCACACTACACACTTGCCTCTACATCGTTACTTCCTGTGGTAACAGTTAGAACTCTAGCATGGTATCTTCTTACTAGGAAAGTCTCCCACATTTCCTGAAATAAATCATTTTGCAAGTAGGCGCCTTTTTCTGATAATCTCATATTTATATGGAACTTATTGTCAGTAACTTCTAATAAAAATAAACTATCTCCATAGATTAAATTAATAACTACATCGATAAATAATGTAGCTAATTTAATACACCAGTCCGCTTCTTATAAATTGTCCTCGATATGGACTTTCGGGTTATCTAACGTATCTTTAGTTGGACCATAGATCAAAGTAATAACTAGCTCGGTAAATAATATAACTAATCTAATATACCAGTCCGCGTCTTATGAACTGTCCTCGATATGGACTTTCAGGTTATCTAACGTAGCTTTAGTTCGATATTTTTACATATTCACACCTCTGTAATTTACCAGTATTATATATTTTTTACATATTCACACCTCTGTAATTTACCAGTATTATATATTTTTTACATATTCACACCTCTGTAATTTACCAGTATAATATATTTTTACATATTCACACCTCTGTAATTTACCAGTATAATATATTTTTTACATATTCACACCTCTGTAATTTACCAGTATAATATATTTTTACATATTCACACCTCTGTAATTTACCAGTATAATATATTTTTACATATTCACACCTCTGTAATTTACCAGTATAATATATCTTTACATATTCACATCTCTGTAATTTACCAGTATAATATATTTTTACATATTCACACCTCTGTAATTTACCAGTATAATATATTTTTACATATTCACACCTCTGTAATTTACCAGTATAATATATTTTTACATATTCACACCTCTGTAATTTACCAGTATAATATATTTTTACATATTCACACCTCTGTAATTTACCAATATAATATATTTAGACACTTTGGAATCAGTTCTGCTTCTCTATAATTTTTTGGGTAAACTAAAGGGGATTGGGGGAGAACATATTGAGCTCATTATGAAAATCATGTGTCGGTGTTAACCCCATGTATTAGATTTTATTTAAAATTAGTATGTACATTGAGAAAGAACACAGATTTCCAGCAAGCTATTCGCACTATTCAAAATTAAATACTTGCACGATAAAAGTTTTCAAATGAGAATAACTATTTTTTGTTTTGAATATACTCTTTACCAACGAATAATGGGATTGACCGTTACATTATAACGCCCCACAGCTGAACGGGCGAGGATATTCAGGGAAGGAGTTCGAACCCGCTACCCTCATATTTCGACTGTTTGTTTGTAATTAAATATAGATTGATTAGAGCTTTTCAAGTGAAGGTTTTATGTATTTGTATTATGTTTACAAAGTCCATTCATAATCTTTTTGATTGAACGGTTCATTTGGAATCATGGAGATTCATAACGTGCCCGCAGATCGCATGTTTCAAATTTTCTTGAGCCTCAATCTTTTATACAGGTAATTGAGTTTAAATTTTTTAGTTACTTCTTTAAATTAACAGAAAATTAAATATTTATTAAGGAATGGTTGTAATAAAAATAGCTTCATAACAGAAACACTGACGCTTATTTCAACAAACGCTAACTTAACACAAATATTACTTTTTTATTCTTTTCCTGGGAGTTATTCTTGTTGTTGTTTATCAAGCACAAAGCTACACAATGGGCTATCTGTGCTCTGCCCACCACGGGTATCGAAACCCGGTTTCTAGCAGTATAAGTCCGCAGACATACATACCACTGTGCCACTGGGGAGGGCTTTCCTGGAAATGGAATATATTATCAATCAGAAATTTCCGAGAGTTTGTGAATGATTAGCGTGTTCTTCGAATTGCGTCTACATGTTTTGTCTTGTTTTCATAGCCTTATACCATAAAGGAACTTTGAAAAGTTAAAACGTTAATGTTCTTGATGGTTACAAGTTATCGTGTTAACAATTACTGAAGTTAAACATGAACATTTCTGTGAGTAAAAATTTTTTTCTTTTTATAAAATACGGACGGTTTTGCTATTAATCCATAAAAGGGAGGGTCAAGAAAATGCACCAAATTATTCAAGGTTTTCCTGCTGTTATTTCAAAATTAATGATGGCGCCACCATTAGTAATTAATTATCTTAACCTTGAGGCTTTCTCGCTTGGTCCACGCGGGCTCATTAGGGCGCCCTTATTTAAGAAAGATAAGCATTTTCTCACTTGTAATGTGGGCTGATAGTATAAGAACTAAAGAAAGACGATAATACAAAAGGAGACCGGGTGTAATTGTTTTTAACAAACCTGCAATCGTGTTCATCGCACGTGCACAGGAGAAGCAAAACTCGAGAGAGTAGAAGAATTCCGTTCATTTAGCAAACGTATTAAGTTAAGGTATGTACAGAGTCATGTTTTCGAATCTACGATACTTTAATCTTCATGAAATATATATTCAAATTTTACTCAAGTAGATTGCTCCCCCAGTGGTACAGCGGTATGTTTTCGGTCTTACAACGCTAGAAACCGGGTTTCGATACCCGTGGTGGGGAGAGCACAGATAGCTCATTGTGTAGCTTTGCGCATAATTACAAACAAACAAGCAAACAAGTAAATTATTAGATTGAAATGCAGAATATTGAAATAATTTCATATTCACATAAATCTCAATGACTCAAAGCGTAAAGGTTATCACAATCAATGCTTACCATAATTTTTTTCCTAACATTTTCACGAATTGTTGACATTATTCAATGGTTTTCAAGGGATATATTAACCCTAAAATCGTGATTCGATTGCACAAAAACTGCAATGTTTTGGTCTAACTTTAACCAAAGAGAGAATGTGCTAGATCGATTTCTGTTATAAAACGTTGCATAAGTTTGGAGTTGGATCTCTTTTAATTCTACAAACGCAATGAAAGTATTGTTTAGGTGTTCATGAAAGGCCCGGCATGGCCAGGTGGTTAGGGCACTCGACTCA